TTTATTTATTTATTTATTTATTTATTTTTGGTATAAAAATATTTCTGGCCTTTGATCAAACTTTGATGAAGCCCCTTATTGTAAAATATCTGCATATACAGCTGATTTTTCTATTTTACAGAGCCCATCCAGTAACACTGGATAAAACAAAATGATCTCGTGGCCTCGTGTTATTTATCACAAGATAACTTTTTTTATCCAGTGTCACCAGACAAGAACTGTACTGCTTAATTTGAAAAGGAGACAAAATCTCTAAAAAAACAAAATGTGACATTTTAGGACAATTTAAAACAGACACATACCAGAAGGTAAAAATCCCTTAGGTCCAGTAGGCAGAAAGCCTTCGGAAGCCCAATCTACCATCAACTTCAGCTCTTGATCTTTATCACCATCTGCCCGAGCAAACGACTTCCCACATCGCATGCCTGCCAACTACAGACAATAGTGTTTTGTTGGTCCGGAGCAAAAGGAACATTTAAAAAAMATTATAGCACAAAATTGCACACAAATTTGTTCAGCTCTATAAWACATCAAATCTTGGGCGGCACGGTGGAGCAGTGSTTATAGCTAGTGCCTCACAGTGAGAAGGTTGTAGCTTTACAACCCATCTGTGGCCTTTCTGTTCTTTCATCCTTTTTAAAGCCACAGTACATACAATAAGGAACCAGCGGCATGGTGATTTCAGCAGAATGTCACGTGTAACAAAGTGCGACAACATTGTGTAACACAATGTGGAGGTGGCTCACGATGGTTTCTTCAGGCTGAGCCCAAGTGTAGGGAATCGAGGGGAGTCGAGGCTCTGYCACAAGGCTCTATGTGCCCTGGTTCATCTTTTCCAGGGGAAGCAAACTGCTTAAGGCTCCATCCGAACTGTCAAAATCAGCTTTTATTGTTGCAGTCGCACAATGAAAATTGTCATTTCTTGTCTTCTTCGTGCCACAACCCGCCATAACTTTTCACCCACCTCCACATACAAAATTATTGTATGATTGGTCAGATGTTTGTGAGCATGTTTGTTTATGCTCAAAGCACTTAGACGCTGCRYTTTGCTTCTACTACTTGCATCCAGAATCCAGCTGTTGTTGAATCAGACATATTTTAAAAAAATCATGGATGGAGATAAAACAGAYGTTGTGTACAGCAGCGAGAGGGGTTTCCCAGGAGCTCGGCAYGGTGTGGGCTATAAAAGGTGTGAGCAAAAATGAACGTCAAACAACCAAGTGAACACACATCTACTGTTTGGMTTYGGCTCAGGTATGCTAARCCAGGTACACACCAAACGTGTTTTGAGCAGCAGGAGCAGCCAGTTTACATGCAAAGTCTATGAGGGACACACATCTAGGAGCAGTGTGGCGCGTTTAACCCGTTTAGCGTGGCGCGCAAGATAGAGCTAGGTGCGGTAGAGCGTTTTCCGTGTATGCGGTGCGTCCAAAGCAGCCGACGCTGGAGTTCAAAAACCTGAACTTTTGCTTCTTGACGCACCGCGTCAACCAGTCAGAGACTCATTTTTCCATGTGACGGTTTCCTGAATGTTGTCCACTAACCCGAATCAGACGGACAGGAACTCTTTAGCTGAAATCAACTGTCTGTAGTTGATGTTTTGGCAGGAGATAGCAGCAGCGATGCAGGTCAGCAGCTCGTTAAAGTGACTGTGGTGGTAAATTGGGCTCAGGACAAAAAATGGTTTGTCAATTCGCAGCTCCTGGAGTGTTGAAACTAACCGAACAAACCAGCTCTAAATTATCTGGTGAATTAACTATCTGGTGTGCACAACGTTCGCTTGCTCTTAGTAAATAAAGCAAAGCCATTTTCTTTATTTCATCTGCCATAAAGACAGACCGGAATAAAAACAAGACGCTCCTCCCTCTTCAGACGCWTCTAGTCTCTGTCCCGGTCTGAATRTAGTRCGTCCAACTTGAGGCAYTGGGAGCGCTTTTGCTGCTCAAAACGCATTCGGTGTGAACCTGGATTTAGRGCTGAGRTCTTCATTTCACACTTTGCTTTGTTCATAAGTGATGGCAGAATATAGTGAGAGCTACAATGTAGAGCTTTGTCTGTAGTAATGAGGGCATTGCTCCAATCTGTTGTGGTGAAAAAGCTGAACCAAAASATAAACCTGTTGATTTACTGATCCATCTGTGTTTCAACCCTCATCTATGGTTTTCAACTATGGATCATAAAAAAAATAAGACTCCAGTCACAAGAAGCTGAAATGAGCTTTGTCTATAGGGCGGCCGGGCTCAATTTTAGAACGAGGAGCTTTATTATAGGAGATGAGCTGGTAAAGGGCTAAGGTGGTTGGTACATTTAGACACCTTCCCTTCAAAGTGTTTTGAGTACATCCCTCAAAAAGGAGACATGAAAGACCCAGAACCCACTGGATGGATTGTTCTGGTAACAGCTTGGAGAGTGTTGCTGGGGAGATTGATTTCTGTGCTTCTCTGTTTGACCTGCAATATCCACAAGTTCCCCACAGATAAACAGTTGAAAATGGATGGATGAATAAAGGGATGTATAAATGGATGGAAGAAATAAAAATTGCAGAAAAGACTTACAGAAATGAAAACCAGTTTTCAAACTGCAGGCCCCATGATGCTGTATGTTTTGAATACCTCAATGATTTGGTAGATGGCTTCTCTGTAGACAGGCAAACTGGTAAAGGAGTTTTTGCAGAAGCATCGTGTGAAAGCACTAAATGGCTGCAGTCTGTCAGTGTAGGTCTGTGACGAAAACAAAAAATGACGTAAGAATCTGCATTGAAAGTGTGTCTRGACAAAATCTAACAATCAACCACCATGTTGTAACCTCTGAGAACATGCCGTCTCCGAACCACTCCACCCTCCGCATGCCTGGGGGAGAATACTTTGATTTCCAAGCCACCACCATGCCTGGCCACCAGGAAAAACCCTTTACTTTACCCCAAACCAGCTCTCCTGTCAGGAATCCTTTGTTATCCTTTAGAAAACAGAAGTRAAACAGATTTAACAGAATAGGTTAGGCAAAATATGAGATGTTTTTTCAAATAGTGATATAAAAACCAGAATTGGCAGAAATGTCTTTGTGAGGTCTTTTTTTAAGCCCCAGTGGCCAATGAAAACTTTGAGATGGCCATTTCAAAATGGCTGCCACTCGAATGCAAAAATTGTTACTTCAGCATGATTTTAGAGCTCCAAACATGCCTTCTGCATAGTCAAGAACATTTGATTGAATGTCAGAATTATTCTTATCAGACAAGTCTCTGTAATTCTGTAGAAAGTTATAGTCCATGGGCTAGGGTGGCTCACCATGCGCCCCCCCCCCAACTTCTCTGGCATTTTCATGTACCCTAGGGTCCACTCTTTCAGAAAATGCATGTTAACAGAAAAAAAGTTGGGTCTCACTGCCCCCCAGGGACCCCTTTGTGGCCACACCCCTTTTCTATTGTGACCATCAAGATTAKGGGTACAGAAAACTTAAATGCCAATAACTTTGSTATAAACCAAYCGAAGTTTAAAAACAAGGKATCAGCAGATTYGTATTGATTRGCTTTTCRATGTACATGACAATTCATTAAGCAAATATCTGCYTGATGATGTCATCRGGGGSTTCAAAAGGTCACTWYCCCAACAGAAGAYGAAAATTTTCATMTTTTTAGTCTGTAGATTAGTGTGAGTCACCATGCACACCCCACTACTGAACTTCTCAGGTATTTTCATGTACCCTAGAGTCTATTCTTTCAAAAACAAAACATGTTAACAGAAAAAAAGGTGGGTCTCACTACCCACCGGGGACCGCTTTGGCCACACTCCTTTTCCATTGTGACCATCAAAGTTAGGGGTACAGGGAACTTAACTGCCAATAACTTTGCTACAAACCAACCACATTTTACAAACATGGTATCAGCAGATTCATATTGATTAGCTCTTTGATTTAAATTGTATTTCATTAAACAAATATGCAAATATGTCAGCAGAGGATCAAAATGTCACAACCCCAACAGAAGATGCCATTTTTCATCTTTTATCTGAGTTTACCACACAGATCCTAAACATTCAACTTYCTTAGCCTTTTCATGCATCTTAGGATCCACTTATTCAGAAAAAAGTCTGTTAACAAAATAAAAGTTGTAGGTACTACTCCACAGGAATCAGTTTTTGACCATACCCCTACTCATTGTGTGCACAGTTCAGAATTTTCAGGATCTCAAACTTGCATGTAGATTAGGGCTGCAACAACGAATCGATAAAAATCGATTATTAAAAGCGTTGGCAATGAATTTCATTATCGATTCGTTCTGTCACGAGATTTATGCATCTCTCGCCGTGTTGCGGAGCCGATTACGTCACCCGCAGAGCGTTGTCAACGCTAGCTGAGCTAAATAAAGTTTAGGAAGAAAAAACTCTACCTGTAAAGAGCCGCCCTCTCTGACTCTCAAGTGAAAAGCAGAGACTACGAACTTTAAACCAGTTTTTAAATCATGTTAGGCCAAGTAGATCCAAAGATATGATAAAAAGTATATGCTGAATTTATTCTTTTTAAAAGATGTCACATTTGATGAGCGCTGCGTCGCGAGGAGGAAATGCCTGCGGGGGGAGGAGGAAGACCTTAAATCCACCATTTCATCCTCCTCTCGGGCAAAAAGTATAAAAACTCTCCATTTCTTTCTGACTGAGGCCCAAAGTTATTTGTTGACCAGCAAAACGGTTCAGGATGAAGAAAAGAAAAAAAAAAAGACGTGATCGAGCAGCAGGTCTGCAGGGAGAGGGGAGGAGTGGGGGGCTGCTTCATAACCGGTTACTGGGTCGAATAATGTTTTAGTCAAACAGAACCAACAAGAA